AACTAAATCATCCCAGCCAGGGCATTGTCAAGCCGGGCCTTAAAAACCTCTAAGGAAGGAGATTTCACCACCTCCCTACGGAACCCATTCCAGTGCTTCACCACCCTCCTAGTGAAATAGTGTTTCCTAATATCCAACCTAGACCTCCCCCACTGCAACTTGAGACCATTGCTCCTTGTTCTGTCATCTGCCACCACTGAGAACAGCTGAGCTCCATCCTCTTTGGAACCCCCCTTCAGGTAGTTGAAAGCAGCTATCAAATCCCCCCTCATTCTTCTCTTCTGGAGACTAAACAATCCCAGTTCTCTCAGCCTCTCCTCATAAGTCATGTGCTCCAGCCCCCTAATCATTTCTGTTGCCCTCCGCTGGACTCTTTCCAATTTTTCCACATCCTTCTTGTAGTGTGGGGCCCAAAACTGGACACAGTATTCTAGATGAGGCCTCACCAATGTCGAATAAAGGGGAACTATTACGTCCCTCGATCTGCTGGCAATGCCCCTACTTATACAGCCCAAAATGCCGTCAGCCTTCTTGGCAACAAGAGCACACTGTTGACTCATATCCAGCTTCTCGTCCACTGTAACCCCAGGTCCTTTTCTGCAGAACTGCTGCCTAGCCACTCGGTCCCTAGTCTGTAGCAGTGCATGGGATTCTTCCGTCCTAAGTGCAGGACTCTGCACTTGTCCTTGTTGAACCTCATCAGATTTCTTTTGGCCCAATCCTCTAATTTGTCTAGGTCCCTCTGTATCCTGTCCCTACCCTCTAGTGTATCTACCACGCCTCCTAGTTTAGTGTCATCTGCAAACTTGCTGAGGGTGCAGTCCATCCCATCATCCAGATCATTAATGAAGATATTGAACAAAACCGGCCCCAGGACCGACCCCGGGGCACTCTGCTTGAAACCAGCTGCCAACTAGACATGGGGCTGTTGATCACTACCCGCTGAGCCCGATGCCTAGACACCAGCCCCCAGCGCCCAAACCCTGGCACCCGAGGGGAGCTGGGACCCCCCCACAGGGCCCTGGCTGGGCCAAAGCAGGGAGGGGCTGGGCACGGGCTGGCTCATCTGCTCCCTCTGCTGGCCTGTTCCAGAGAATGCCCCAAGCCCCGCTGCTGCCCTCCAGCGTGCCCCCATCTCTGTGCCCAGCACTGGGTCAGCAGAGCTGATGCCCACGCCCCTGCCACAGCAGCCCCCGTCTCCACAGCAGCCTCCGGTCTGGGCAGGACAGCACCCCCAGGACTGCCCGAGGGACCGCCCCCGGCCAGGTCCAGAGGGTTGGGGGGCCCAGCCGGAGGATCGTCCCTGGCTAGGGGGTTAAGGATGAATTGTGTGCAGGGCACTGCCCATTACCCTCCCATGGGACAGCATCTCCACCAGCCCCACCCCACCCAGCCGGGAGCCCCCCAGGCCCAGCCCCAAGGCGGGTCCTACCGGCGCCTCCACCCTGCAGGAACTTCAGGAACACGTAGGTGCAGATGGTCCAGGCGACTGTGTGCCAGGCAGTGCCCTCCGTCAGCTCGTTTACTGGGGAGACAGGAGACCCATATCAGAGCGCTGGGGGCGGGGGCGGCGGGCAGCACTTCCCTGCAGCCGAGGGAGGGAGCTGGGGCCTGCGTGGCACCCCAACCCCTGTGCCGACCCTTCCCCAGCTTCTCATGCTGCTGCTCCCCCCACTGCCCAGCCGGCGCCCTCCCACTACTGCCCCGCCAGCTCCTGGGGCAGGCGCCTGGGCTCAGTGGTGCTAGAGAGAACATGGCCCACGCCTCCCGACCACCAGGCAGCAGCACCCAGCGCTGAAATGCAGCCTCTTCTGGGGTGGGGCACGACAGCCACTGTGCGGTTAGGCCAGGTGAAGGCGACTCCTGGGCCCCTCGGCACTGTGGCAGGCCAAAGGGGACACCGGGGCCAACTGTGACCCTGGGGAAAGGGCCCCAGGCTGGGCAGTGAATGCAGGGGGCTAGTGGGGGGCCCTGAGAGACCGTGCCCCCTAGCACCATGTGGGGGAACTGCTCCAGAGAATTCCCCCAAGCGCCTCACCCCCCCCGCAGCCTGGGGAGGCAGCTCGGGCAGAGTGCAGGGCAGGCTGGGGGGCAGGAGGGGTCTGGCGTGTGTGGACTCGTTATCATGGGGCAAAGCTAATATGACTGGTGCAGGGAGGGCACTCACTGGGGCAGCTGTGGGGGAGAGGAGGGCTGCCCCCCACTCCCAGCCCAGGCCCCATCCCTACCCCCAACCTGGGCCCCAGCCCTGCCCCCCAGCCTCCAGCCCTGCCCCCAGCCCAGGCCCTAGCCCTGCCCCCCACCTTCTACCCAGGGTACTTGTTCCCCACCAATGAGAAATGTGTCAGTACATACCCAGCCCCTCTCCTGTCACTCCCCCCTTTCTTTGCCCCCCCACTAGCTGCAGAGCCGGCGGGTGGCAGGGCCTGGAGCGCACACAAAGGGCCCTTGTTCCTGGCTTGGGCTTTGTCCCCCGGAGACGGGCGGAGGGCTGCCCTAATCCTAACTGACAGGGGGGACCGCAGCGAGGGGGGGGGCGCACTGCTTCCCAATGCTCAGAGACGGGCCCCTCGCCCCCAGCCGCTCCTCTGTCCGGCCGCCCGGCACGGCTGGGGGGACCTGGGGACAAGCAGGGACACCAACTGCCGGCTCCATGTGGGGAGAGGTCGGGGGGCCTGCCCCACTGCAGGTAACCCAGGGGCCCGGCGAGAATGCAGGGGTGGCCAGAGGAGGCCTGCAGGGGGCAGCCAAGCCCTGGGGCTGGGCAACCTGGGGCCAAGCTCCCCTCAGCCCCCAGGGGAGCACCCCCATGGGGGGCCTTGGGGCCCCGGCCAGCGCAGTGCAGGGCTGGATGCACTCCAGGGGCCACGGTTGGGATGGGGAGACAGGACTGCAGCCTCCGGCCTGGGGCTGATGGGGGCTCGCTGCGTAGCCCTTGAGGCCGGAGAGCAGTCTTCTCCCCAGCCCCCCAGTCGCAGAGGGAGGGGGCAGGTGGTTTGTATGCAGGCCACAGGCCGCTCCCCCCATTCAGACCCCCCATTATCCGCCCCGGAGCCTCCTGCCAGCACCGCTTAGCGACGCCTTTGTAAGTCTAGAAGTCAAGGCTGAAAGGCAGACACCAGGGCCGGCCTCTCCCATTCTCGAGGCCTGACCTAGCGCCGGGAGCTGGCACCCGGGCCGCCCGCCGGGGCCTGGGAACCTGGCACACTGCAGCCCTAGCAGCAACAAAGGAAGGGGCCCTGTGCTCCGCCAGCCCCAGGCCCACCGGCGGGCTCTGGCAGCGACTCCCTCCTTCCTGCCCGGCCCAGCTCGGAGCCACTC